ATGGACGTCTAAGTCTCTGAGTCTGTCATCCTAGCCCATACACTTTCAGCATTCAAGGGCCCAGAACTGCCAGGTTTGGAAAGGCCATTCTTCACTCACTTGTGATTTCCACTACATCAAACATACTGCAGCCAGCTTATTGATAACACAACATGGAAAATATCTACATTTTATTAAGTGAAATAAGTAAATTCAATGAACATATATGAAATTATCCCAATTTTGGAGACTCTCCCTTTCCCCTGACTAGTCTAAGTATATGCTCACTGAGCCACCTCCTGCCTGTCATTGTCTAACTTCTGAGGACAGATGGCAAAACTCACTGCACTCACTAGTACCTGCAGAGGATTTCATAGGCAGACACAACTCAGGGTTTGCTGACATTGGTCATTAGATATACAGAAATTCCATTAACTTGATATATGATAGTCTTTTAGCATAGTCATTTGTCGCAAGTTGATCTACAATAGAAATTACGTGAGTAATTAAAACTATGATGGTAACAAAGATGGTAAGTAATAAAAGAAACAGTATTACAAATCCACTTATAGTCTGTTGGTTGGATCCTCTGTAACTTGACTGCCTCTTCTGTTTTTATGAGTGGATTTTGCATACACATCCCACACAATTTCAAGCTGCTTATTTTGTTTTAACTTTCTGATTCTTTACTATATAATTCTTCCTGATTTCTTCACAGTCTTCTTTTAAGGGAAGAGTCTAAGAAGGTCCAAAATACCAGTTAGTTGAACACATCTGATTGATACGGGTCAACAGTGGCAGGGAACAGGCAAAAAGGACCAAACCAGAAGCAAATGTCAGCTTGGCAAGCTGGAAAATGGTAGGTTGTGGCTAAGGAACATTTGTCAAAAGGAGAAAAGAACACTTGGAGGAGAGTCTTGATTTTTTAATATTTATTATATATATATATATTTTTTTTTTCAGGTTCCAGGGATCAAACCCAAGGCCTCATGCTTGCTAGAAAAGTGCTCTACCACTGAGCTATATCCTTAGCTCTAACGAGTCTTGATTCTTTTTTTAAAAAAATTTTATTATTTTTATTTTATGTGTATGAGTGTATTGCCTGCATGTAAGTGCACCTGTATCATGCAATGCCCAAGGAGGTCAGAAGAGGCCATCAGATCCCTTGGAACTGGAGTTATGGATGGTTGTTAGCCACCATGTGGGTTCTGGGAATTGAACTCGGGTCTTCTGCCATCTCCCCAACCCCAAAGTCTTGATTCTTAATAGTGTTACACAGTGCAATGAAAGGAAGAAAATATGCACATTAGAATTCTACAGTTTTATGTAAGAACTAAGAAGACCCAAGTACTTATAAGAGGGAGGCTGTGCCAGTGATTTAATAATTTTAGTAAGTTTTCCCCAGGGACTGTGTTGAACTCTTGGCATGTGGGGCTGTCCTACCATCTCACTGAGTTAAAGGGGTCTAACCTCAACACCTACTTAATCTACAACTCTCCATCCAAGCTGACAACTGAATTACCTTTGACCCTTTTTCTGTTTTTAATCGGTGTTACATCTTAAAACGAACTATAATATAGTCTTTGAGTTTTAAGTTTAAATGTTCAGACTGTAGTTAAGTAAGAATGAAGTAATCCTATTTAGCATGCATAGGATCCTAGCTCCAATCTCCACAACTTCCAAAAACAAAAATGTAATTCCTCACCTTCCATACTGTATGCAATGTATCATGGGTGAATTTGCACCAGACCTTAGCAATGGTTTCAGGGGATGGCGTCAGAGATGGGGGAGTAATATGGGAGAAGCTAAGGGTTTGTTTGCATTTGTACAATGACCATATACTTATGTGTTAATTTTTTAAAAATATTTTATTTATTTTATGTGTATGAGTGTATTGCTGCATGTACATGAGTGCATCCGTGTCGTGCAATGCCGTGGAGGTCAGAAGAGGGCTTCGGATTCCCCTGGAACTGGAGTTAAGGACAATTCATAGCCGCCATGTGGGTGCTGGGAATTGAACCCGGGTCCTTTGCAAGAGCAGTCAGTGCTCTTAATTGCTGAGCCATCTCTCCAGCCCCTCATGTGTTAATTTTATAATGAAAAATACTGCTGGATGTAGTGGTGCATGCTTTTAGTCCCTGCACTCAGGAGGCAGAGGTAGGTTGATCTCTGTGAGACTGAGGCCAGTCTCTTCTACATAGTGAGTTCACTGGGAAGATGGGAGTGTGCTAGTTTCCTTTCTGCTGCTATGATACAACACCCCGATCAAAGGAAGCAACTTAGGGGAGGAAACCATTTATTTGGCTTACACTTCCAGGTTGCAGTCCATCACTGAGGGAAGTCAGGGAAGGAACTTAAGGCAGGAACCCGAAGCAGGCCTGCTTGCTACTCCACACAGCATTACCTCTAACAGGGAACTTACAGCCAAAACATGGAGGAACTGTGCTTGAAGGCTTGTTCCCAGGTTCATGCTTAGCTAGCTTTCTTATACAGCCCAGGACCCCCTACCAAGGATGGTGCTGTCCACAGTGGGCTGGGAACTTCTATATCAATGAACAAACAAGACAATCCCCCACAGACATGCCCACAGGCCAATTTGATCTGGGAAATTTCCTCAATTGAGACTCTTTCCAGGTGACTCTAGGCCGTGTCAAATTGATACTTAAAGCTAACTAGGACAGGGTAAATTAGAATTTCATACTTCTGTACTGCCTGATTTTTTAAAAGCAAGTTTGTATGATTCTCCCAGTAACAACAGACTGGCAATTGAGAGAGCACAATGCCATAAGTGCAGGCAGACATATTCCCCGCCAAAAATATTTCAGTCTCTCAAATTTTGCTTTCCTATTTACTCTCCCTGAAAGAGGGATAAAAGGGGCTAGAGAAGATGGCTCAGCAGTTAAGAGCACTGGCTGCTCTTGCAGAGGACCTGAGTTTGATTCCCAGAACCCACATGGTAGCTAACAACTGTCTGTAACAGTAGTTTTAGGGGATGTGACACCCTCTTCGGGCCTCTGTTGATATTTCATGACATGTGTATACTTATATACATGCAGGTAAAACACTCATACACATTAAATAAATAAATAAATAAATAAATCCAAAAATTTAAAAATAGGGATAACAGCATTTACCTCATGTGAATTTTGTCTGTTTATTTTCTCCAATTTATGAATTTAGTAACTACCAATTTCCTGTGAACCTTTTGTCCATTATGTAATAGCTCTCAATTCTGAGAAGTCATCCATCAGCATGCATGCTTTAGGTGTCCATAAGTTAGAAGCTGGGCTGATTTTAACTCTACATTGAAATCTCTTGGCCAGCTGAGTCTGTCTTTTCCCCTTTGAATTTTTTATAGTATTTACACTTGCCACAAAGCCTAAACTTGATGAACATTTGCTGAACTTAACAGAATTAACATAAGAGACTGTGTACTCACAACCTCCAAGTAGACCTATGAGAAAACACTTTTGAGCAGGTAGCAATCTTGAAACTCCTCAAGTTAACCACAATTTAACAACAGCTATCTCTGGGTTGTAGGATCATAGCTCATTTTAATTTTCTTCTTTACAATTTTTAATATGCTTCATTTTTCTGTGGAGGCCATATCTAAGCTAGAGAAAACAGAATACTCTCCACAGATCTTATGAAATGAGGTAATAGAGACTCCTACTGAGCCTATCTAGCATAATCCAATAATGTTTAAGAAGCATTACAATTGCCAGGAATGGTGGCACATGTCTTTAATCCCAGAGGCAGGTAGATCTCTGTGAGACTGAGACTAGCCTGGTCTACATAATGAGTTCCAGGCCAGCTGGGGCTGCAGGGAGACCCTGTCTCAAAAAGACCCCCTCAAAAAGTAAGAAATATTATTATTAATAGTATTTTATAAGTTCTGTGGAGAGTATTCTATTTTCTCTATCTTAGATATGGCCTTCACAATAGAGGTGATTAAAAATTTACTAAATATGTAAAGGAAATCCAGAAGTTATATGGCTGTGCTCCTAGGGGAAGCCCAATGAAACTCCTTTCAACTGAAAGTATGGTGATTTCCAAGATCCTGTCCCTGTGGTCTACCTCCTCTTCCCATTGTTCACTTGGTAAAGACAACCTCCGGGGTGGTGTGATGATGGCACCTTATTTATGGTGGCTCTAGAACACAGGCAGTCACTGCCTGTCTCAGACGCTTACAGTCAGGAGTTTAACTTCCTGGCTGGGTCCACGTCTTACTTCCAACTCTAAGATTGCAGCACCCTTTGTCCTCCAAGTCAATAAAGCAAGAACCCCAAGGGGCTGCAGCTAGAGTTCAATCCTAGAATTCCCAACCTTTGTTTTTCCTGCTCAGAAAATGAATTTATTCATGGATTCCCTTTATTCCTTCCTCAGTTTACCAAGGACTCTGTTCTAGGGTGGTACTACTAGGGGAATGGCCTGGAAACTCACAGCTCTAAGCAGCTGTCTGTCCTCCAGACCCAATTAACAGAACAAAGGAAGTTACCAAAACTATAGCAAGGATACAGGCAGGTTCTCCAAAAGGAAACCTGCAGGATGAAAGAAGCAAGCGAAGGTCTCATTCACTCTAGGTTCTCTCTGAGCTGCCCTTAGGAGCATCCTGGGACTCGTGCCTTGCCCTGAGAATCCTGAAACCAATTGTGTGTATTCTTGGGCTGTAGTTATCAACCGAAGTCTGAGTTCTACCAGTTTGTGTTCTAAATTTTCCTGGTTTCACTTTTCAAGTACGAAAACCTCAGATCCTAAGTCCTTCACTGACTGGGTTACCATGAAGTCAGGGAACGAAGGTGCTTCCAGGCAGACCTAGGACCTAGCGCCCCGAAATCGGGGGCGTACGCTAGACCAGGGGACATGGATGGGCCAGCCTAGGTCATCCCACGCATCACGAGACTTTATAAGAAAATGAAACTGAAAATGGGAAAGTCCCTGTTTCTAACCTGGCTCGGCGTCTCCAGCGAGGAGACTGGTGACGGCCTGGGCCGGCTAGGTTCTGATTGGCTGTGTGTGCGCGGACTATAAAAGTGCGCTCCGAGCCCTGCCCGCATTTCACATTTCGGCGCTGGACGCGTTGGAGTGGCGATGGCTCGCTCCGTGGCCCTGATCCTGCTGGTGCTTGTCTCTCTGACCGGCTTGGATGCTGTCGAGCGTGAGTGCCTTCCTCCCCTTTGCCCCTCACCGCTAAATCTGTGAGAGCTCTCCAAGTTCTCCTTTCCGAGAAACTGCTAGTCAGGGCTGGGTCTCTGCGGACGTGGGCCGGGGGTATGGAAGTCCTGGCGCCCAGCTTCTCTCTGGGCCCGGGAGCAGGATGGATGTGGCTCTGGGGTCCGCGGGGACCGTGAGAGCAGCGAAGGGAGTCAGGACGGCTTCACTTCTGCTCTCTGCTTCTGAGCTTTGGGCTCCCGGAGCCCTGCTGAAGGATGGATGGCCTGCCCCGAAAGCGCTGGGATGAGGGTTGCGGACCGGTGGGAACCGGGGTCGGGGCCGGGAGGCACCGCCTGGGAAGGCGGACCCCGCTGCTCAACTTCCTTTGCACTTGGGCTCGCCTGCCCCGGGGCGCCGGGATCTTGAGGAACCCAGCCAGCGCACAGCGAGAACTCCGGAAAAAACAGGCCCTGGCTAAAGGCTTTCCGCTTTTGTATTGTTGACTTACTTTTTCTCCTTTACATGTTGCTTTCAGTAATGATAAGGGCTCCGAGCTATGACAGTTTACTGCTGAGGACGCTACCTACTTCGAGTTATCTAAATTTGAAAATGTGTCTGCGATGTAAATACTATGGCTACCCGATTCTCTCTCAGATGGGTCAACGGAGGCATCTGAGATTTTTGAATTTATTTTATTTTTATTTTAAAATTTTATGTGTATGAGTGTATTGCCTGCATGTCGTGCAATGCCGTGGACGTCAGAAGAGGGCTTCGGATTCCCCTGGAACTGGAGCTAAGGACGGTTCGTAGCCGCCATGTGGGTGCTGGGAATCGTGCCCGGGTCCTCTGTAAGAGCAGTCAGTGCTCTTAACCGCTGAGCCATCTCTCCAGCCCAGCATCTGAGATTTTTAAGTATTTTATTCATACAAGAGACTAATGACAATCGGGATTGAAGTTGAGCCTGACCAGTGTCATTTGCGGTAGAGTAGGCCTTTTGGCTGTAGCCCTCTTTTGTTTTTAGGCGTCCTGGCCTTCCAGGGTCAGAGTCTCTTAGGCAGGCTGGCTGGCCATGATATTTTCTTTACAAAGGGTTTCCTCCTTGGCACCAGGCCTGGTTCTTTCCAAGATGTACAGAGACTCTACTTTCAGTTTTGAAAAGGTTAAAGTCTGTCAAAGTCAGGGAGATTGTAAAATCTAGGGCAAGGATAATCCAATATGGTTACCAAGACTCTTGAGGATAAGTAAATTACAGAGCTAGGGAAGGGCTGAACCCATATTCAAACCCAGCCTGGCACTTGTTTTCATTTAAAAAAAAATATTACAGTGCTATTCTTGTTAAATCCTGCTTCATTTCTTCAAGGTGTCCAGGCAGGATGAACTTGGGCTCTGACCTCTGTGACATTATGTTCTGATGACCAGAAGCTCAAGTGCAAAGGGCTCTCTGGTTTATCTTCACTTTTAACTTTATGGGGGGAAAAATCAAGGCTTCATTGGGCTTTTCATCCAGCTTTTCTTGGGGCTAGCAACCTTTCCTTCAGAAATAAGATGTTTCTAGATAGGTTCATCTGGCCCCTACATCCTGGCATTCTTCTCTCTACTACCTTCCTTATATGGAGAAGCAACTGCTCTTTAGTGACCATGTACCCTGAATATGTGTATACTTAATATGTAAGGGGAAGGCCAGGCTTGGTGGACCACACCTTTAATCCCAGTACTCTGGAGGCAGAGGCAGGTGATCTCTGTGAGATCAATACTAGCTTGGTCAACATAGCAAGTTCTCAGTCAGGTGAGGCTACAGAGAGAGCTTGTCCCCCAAAACAGAAAACAACCGCCCTCCCCCAAATATAAGCTGAGTGTGATGACTCATGTCTGTAATCCCAACACTTGGGAGGCTGAGACAGGAGGATTTTGAGGCCAGCTTGGGAGGCAGCAAGACTTGTCTTTAAAAAATAAAAAATAAAGAGGAAGAGAGCACTAGAGCACCGGTGAAACATCTAATAGGAGAGGTGCTTGTTACCACACCTGTTGATCTGAATTTGATCCCATGACCAACATGGTGGGAGGAGAGAACCAACTCTCATATTCACACTTGAGCACACACACATATACATACACACACACACAGACACACACACTCTGAGTAAAATATAATTTTGTTTCAAAAGTAGACATAGATTAGTGCTATATTAGAGTCAAATCTGCTATATTAGAGTAAAATTTGTATATTCTACACAGTAGTATGTAGCATGGAAACTGGGCAGGTACAGATTGTGTTTCATAGGATGGTACCCTGGATTGACTTGCATTGGAACCTAAGCAGAGAGGGAATAATAATGGCATCTGCCACTTGCAGAACAATTGCTCTGTTCTAGGCACCGTATTAGCCAATATGTGTTAGGAAGTCTAGGGAGGAGCAATAACCAAAAAGGAAGGGAATAAATCTAAAAAGGGAAATGGGAGGGGCTGAAGCAGCAGAGGACATGAGTGATTTGATGTAGCTATGGAGGGTGTGTGTAATGAAAAATGGAAGTCTGGAAGGAGGTGGGCTGTGAGTGATTTCTTAAGGAATTGGATGGGTGCTGAGCAGACTGTTCTGGGGAGGTCCCAATAAGAGCTTCTTAAAAATCCAGTGACAGAAGATACTGCTAGAAGTCAGGTAGAAAAAAACAAAAACAAAAACAAAAGACATGCACAGAATTACAAGGAAAGATACCAAGTGGAATTGGGAGAAATAGATGGCTTAGATGGAGACTAAACCCCAAGTGAAATATTCTAGCAACTGTTATTTTTCTTTCTCCAATGTCCCTCAGGTCCTCCAAGAGTTCAAGTATACACACGGAACCCACCAGAGAATGGGACACCAAACTTCTTGAACTGCTATGTGTCTGGGTTCCATCCACCCCAGATTGAAATAGAACTGCTGAAGAATGGAAAGAAGATGGACAAAGTAGAGCAGTCAGACCTGTCTTTCAGCAAGGACTGGTCTTTCTATCTCCTGGCCTACACTAATTTTATTCCCACTGCAAGTGATGAATATGCCTGCAGAGTTACACACAGCACTCTGAAGGAGCCCAAGGTCGTGAAGTGGGGTAAGTCTTCAAGTTCTTCCTTAACTTCTGAAAGCTCTATTTGTGTGGAGTCACAGCTTAATGCTGCTTTGATATTTAAAAAGTCTGTACACTGGGATTGTTAGGGGATATTCCTAAAGCACTGACCAGTGCCACTCCCTAAGAGACCTTTGTACAGCATTCTCCCTGAACCAGTAGTGTCCCTCAGTGAGAGCTGGAGCAGCAGTACCACCAACTCTCCCGTACTTCTTACCTGCTGGCTTCCTCCAGCTTTCCTAGCAGCATTATGGGCACTGAGCACCAAGGAGCAGGTCAGGTGTGCACAGGCTTTGGCGTCAAGCCCTGCCCTGGTGGTGCCCTACAACCCTGGACTGCCCTGGAACTCTGGTTGAGTTTGGTGCTGAGGTGAGACTCATTCCACTGGGTAGTTCTCATCAAATGCTCAAGGTTAGGAACAACCCCCAATTCTGCCAGTTTATTGCTAACAGTTTTGGATGTTTGTCAGGACATGACATAGTTGTATAAAAGTAAAAAATGTAGGGGCTGGAGAGATGGCTCAGTGTTAAGAGCACTGACAGCTCTTGCAGAGGACCCGGGTTCGATTCCCAGCACCCACATGGTGGCTACAAACCTTCCTTAACTCCAGTTCCAGGGGAATCTGAAGCCCTCTTTTGGCCTCCACAGCATTGCACGACATGGGTGCACTCACATATATGCAGGCAATACACTCGTACACATAAAATATATAAAAATAATAAATATTAAAAAAAAAAAGTAAAAAATGTTTTCCTTTTTTTCCTCTGCTTCTTCATAGAGCGAGACAACTAACCAGCATACTGGAGGTGGGTTTTTGACTTTAAAAAATGGGCCTTTGGGAGGAGGGAGGCTGGTGGTGGGGGGGCAGGGAGGGGTATAAGTAACTAAGTGGTAGAGCATTTATCTAGCTTGAGTTTTATACCTGGCACTGTAGAGAAAAATGGTTTGATTTACTATGGAAGGAACTGTTTATAGAGAGCACTAACATGATAACACTCCCTCTGCAGAAGATACTAATCAGGTTAGCATGTCAGGTCAGAGGGTAAGGAAGAATCCTTAAAGGGGGGGTCATGTCACATTCCTTTATCTTATGGAGTGGCATGAGGGAACATACAGCCCCAGATCTGGCTCTGCCAGCATCACTAACCTCCTCTAGGGAGAACAGGAGCTGCCAGTGTGCTGTGGCAGGAAAAGGCAGGCAGTTACCGACACCACCTTCTAAGTGGTCTTCTTTCATTTTACCTTGGGCATTTCTGCTGGGAAGGCCTTGGAAAGTGAACCACTTTCTTCCCTTGCATCCAGTGGCTTTGCTCTTCAGCCAGGAGAAGGGAGACAGGAGTCTGCAGATGCTAGATGCTTCACTGAGTCTCTTGTTCAGCCTCAGTGTGTAGTCACTGAGTTTACCTTCTGGATGCTTCCAGCCCACTTGAGGAAAGAAATGGATACAGAATGTTATAATGCCATGTAAAGACACTATCATATATTATCAAAAGGAAGTCTAGAAGCACAAAAGAGAGAGAGGAACTTTGACCTCTCTGTATTTTTAGTCCAGCAGTAAGATAGCCAGCTTTTCAGTGAAATCCTACTGTCTGGGTTACTATGAGGTTGAAAACTCATTCAAATCTTGTATTATACTCCAGGACAGGGAAGTTGATTTAAGAGATCATTAGAGCAGTTGGGTGATCGTTCTAGACACACCAAATGGTAGTGCCAGGACCCAAACTCACATATCAGCATTTTCTGCTGTAAGGTTTTGGGAGTACCAGTGGGAAGAACTGTGGGGACAGGCTCTACAGTGGTTCAGCAGAACTGTCTGAAGCACTTCTTTTAAAAAGGTGATCCATCAGTACTTCAGAAGTTAGGCCAATTTGGTGGTGAGGTCTGTAATACAAATAAAGTAAATGGCTGTAACTAACTTCTTCCCTCCCCCTCCTTCCTTCCCTCCCTTGTTCCCTTCTTCCCTCCCTCCCTCTTTTCCTCTTCCTTCCTCCCTTTTTTTCTTTTCAGATATGAAGATATCACATTTGAACCAGTTTAATTCTGTGTTATTGTATTGATTTAAACATATGTAGATTTCATGCACACAATAAGAAAGCTGTAAAGAAGTACCATCTTTGTAACTTTACTTGGAGTGCTTTTAACATGTTAAAATTAAAGACTAACATTTGGATTCTAGCTATATATATATATATTTTGGTCTTTTTGAGATAGGCTCTCCCAGTAGCCCCAGCTGGCCTGAAACTCACTATTTAGACCAGGCTGGCCTCAAACTCACAGAGATCCTTTCCGTCTGCCTCTGCTTCCTGAGTGCTGGGATTAAAGGCATGCGCCACCACACCCAGCATGGATTCTAGCTATCTTAAATGAAAGTATCTATGAGTACTTTGATTGAAAACGTTATGAAAAAAAATGATTTTGCTAGTTTGACAGAAAAAAAATCTCTAGTAAATATAATTAAAAGTAATAGCTGACCATATATCAAACCCTTATTGGGCACCAAACTCTGTACATCTCCTCTTATTAGTTGGATGCAATTGTTCATCTTTGGTCCTCCATAACATAAATGATTAAAATGTCTAAGAAACTTGAAATCTATCTCTTTGGTAAAGCACACAGACCCAGCTGAAGCCTGTCACAATGCCTTGCATACTTCCCCTCCCCTATGAATCACTTCTTCTTTTTTATTTTCACTCAGGAAAAAAAAAAAAAAGACTTTTGCTGCCACATAAAGCCATAGTGTTATTATACAAAGTGGTTCTCGGTATCTTTAGATGTCTACAAGTATGCATGCCATTTTCAGCATCTGAAGATCCAGTAAATGTCCTCAGTCAAGTTCTTATAGAAGCAGACTCCTGATGTAAGGGTCTAGATGAAAATGACTTATTAAGAAAGGACTCTCAGAAAACAAAACAAAACAGCAGTAAGGGGGTGGTGTCTGAAGGACAGGGAAAGGGAAGAAACAGAGGGGGTGAGATTTCAGAAGTTCTACATCCAGCCGGATCCCATTGGGAAGCTCTAGAGCAAAGAACACATCTTAAAGTTCATCTTACCTTGAAGCAAAGAAGCTGGCTTTAGAAATCTTCACAGGCCTGTTGTTGTCTATACAGGATTGTGGAATAATCTGAAACTTAAAATTCCCAAATACTTTGGATTCTCTCTGTTACTGGAAAGTAATGTGCAGGTGCTGGTTGTTAGCACAAAATATGCAAAAGCTAGGGATTGGCTCATATTGTAGGTGGAACAGCTGTTGATACTGTGTTTCCTGTTCTAGTCTTCTGCCTGTACAACACATACAATCCGAAACTCCCATTACAAGTTCAAAGTTTCTAAGGGACTAACATTAACCTGTGAATGCCAGTCAACTGAGAACTAAGTTTGAATCCTAATTTTACAAAAGTTACTTTGAAATCCCTGATTTGAGCTTTTAATATGGATATTATTTGTGTCCCCAAAGATCCTTTTGTGGTTGAGGCTTGGCCCCCATGGTGGCGAAAATGGGAAGTGGTGGATCCTTTAAGAGGTGGAAGCTCATAGGAGGGTCTTGGGTTACTGGTGGTATAAGCTCAGAGGAAGGTCCCCTGGGATCTGTTGAATTCTGAGAGAATTATAAAAGGAGCAAACCTGGTCCCTTCTGTCTGCTCAGCTGCTTCAAGATAGAATCCCTTGCTTGCTCCTGACATACTTTTTCCATTGCTGTTGGCACCATGAAGCCAACGAGTAGCCTTTGCCTGTGCTATACTATTGAAATTTTGAAACTTCAAAACTGTAAGCTAAATAAACCTCTTATTAAGTAGCTTGTATCAGGTGTTTTGTTATAGAGATGCAGAGATTCAGTCACCATAACCAAAAAAGTGGGATACTTAGCCTGGCATCACAAAGTTTATTCCTTTATTCATGCAATTATTTTCTGTGTTTGTGTGTGTGAGGGGGTGTGCATGCCTGTATGTACAAGGGTGTGGAGGCCTCCAAGAATTGTTGGATGTCTTCCTCAGTTGCTATTCTCTACCTTATTTATTTTTTAAATTAAAATATTTATTTATTTAGGTCTTTTTGAGACAAGTCTCCCTGTAGCCCCAGCTAGCCTAGAACTCACTATGTAGACCAGGCTGACCTTGAACTCAGAGATCTGCCTACTTCTGCCTCTTAAGTGCACCACCTTGCCCAATTCACAAGTTTCCTGTTTCAAGTTATCTGTTTCCATTTCCTCAGTGCTGATATTACAGGCATTCATCATCATGTCCTGCTTTTACATGTGTACTGGGGATTGAATTCAGGTCCTCAGGCTAACAGACCTAGCCATCTCCCCTCAATAAACGATTTTAATGAAAGTGGATGGGTCTTGAAGAAGGCAGTCTCCTGGAACAGAGTTCTGTGGGGCTCTAGGTGTAGTGTTTGGTTTTCAGTGTCTTCCTTTAATCTTCCTTGGTTAGTGTAATTTCAATCAGAAGACTAGACAGCTGTATTCATGTTGGTGGATTTGGGGGTTTTATTTAGATAGGGAAATTTCAGGGGAAGCTCTTTCCTTCACTTTAAGAGAGAACTTTGAGAGAAAGGAAGGGATTATGGCACAGGGGCAGCATAAGTTTCTGCAGCCAGACAGAGCTGCCAAAGCAGGACTGCAATAGCAACCCAGGAGCTGAGCAGAAGGAAAGGAGGTTAGATGAGCTTCTCCAAAGGCTGCTTCGTACATCAGCCAAGAGCTCAAGAACCTGGAGGAGGGACCTGGAAACCTGGAAGAAAGAAGCCCACCCCAACCCCACCCAAGACACCTTCAAAACATCCCTCCCCATTGCCAAGTGTCCTCAAGGGTAGGTTGCAGGTGGAGAAGTGGACCCAGCCCACAAGCCCAGAGTGGCACCTAGAACGTCAATGGGTAGTGGATCTGCAGCTCCCCAGGATGCCAAGAAGGAGAATACATCCAATGTCCTCTGTCCCCAGGGTCTCTTTCTGCTCACTCCTTTAGCCTTCAGAAATAAACCTGGCTTTCTTAAAACACACACACACACACACACACACACACACACACACCTAAAGAACCACCATACTTTGGGGATGGGTATAGTTTTGACCTCTAGCAATAGCTCAGATTCAGATGTAATATTACTGGCTCTGAAATTGTGAAAGTCTAGGTAAAATTCTGAAAACAAAAAGCAAAACCCTCTCAAACTACACCCTTTGAGTTGTTTAGTGGTATTTACAGGTCTAGAAAATCCAGATATGAAAGCATGGAATAGTAAGTGGTCAATAAATATTCAAGAAAGAAAATAACTGAAAACATTTTTATGTGATTGCAAATCCAGGTTACAAATGGTTTTTTTTCACAGTTGTGTGTCTGTGTGTATGCTTTGACCCAGACCCTCAGCTTTGGGATACTACAAGTAATCTCACCATCCGAACACCCAAAAAGCATACTATTCATTTCTAAAGCCTGTCTAGAGAACCACTGGTCCAGAGTGGGAGGTGCTGCTCTAATCTCTGTGGGTGAGGTGGAGAATAACCTGCCCTTTCTCTGAAAGCACGAGGCTTTGCTAAAAGAATTAAAGATGAGGGAAGTCCACTCTTTTAATCTGAAGCAACACTTTTTGCCTAGAGCCCGGTGACCCACCATGGGATGGGCTGTGAGTGGGCACTTCACAAACAGTAAAACTGTTAGCAGTGGCAGCCGGGATGGGGGTGTGCAGTGCAGATGGAATTTGCACCTGTTAATCTGCTTAGTGGCCTGCCTAGTGCTTAGTTCTGCTTTCTGGACACGTCCCTTGTGAGACAGCCTTCTCCCTAACAGCACCCCCACTGCTTTGCTCAGTCCTCCTGCCACACCCTGAGCAATCAGCTGCGAGCCCATAAACTCAACACTCAGGGCCTGCTTCTCTTCTCTTACTGGGATAGCTACCAGGTTAGGAGTGAGATGAGCAGGGCAGAATATCTAAGTCCCTGATGCACTGCTGGATGCTTGGGTGGAGACCAGGTGTGGTGGGCTCTGCTTTCTGGAGCTGCCCAGCCTCACTGGATGGTCTCTTTTTCTGGGTGAGAGTGAGAAAGTGTAGTGGCTGATGATCACAAGATGCAGGGTGGAGGAGGGTACAGACTCTGCCAGAGCTGGTTGACTCAGTTCAAGTATTGCCTGGATAAGTAGGTAGGTGCTTGTGGTGGTCTGTTGGGGCTGCACCCACTCCTGGGCTTCTACTTCCCTACCAGGTTCTACAGATCATATCATTGTATTGCATAGCATCTGTTAACTTATATGCTTATTTATTGATATAACTTACAAACCACACAATTAGTACATTTAAGTATACAATTCATTGAGGCTTAGCCTTGATTTGAGAACATTTCCATAACTTTCCTCCTAAAATCCTACTATTAGTAGTCACTCTACATCCCTCCTAACCCCTCTAGCCCTAGGAAACTATTACTCTTTTGGCCTCTATGAATTTACCTATTCTTGATTTTTATTCTATTAAATTATTTCTTTGTGTATGTGTGAGCAAGTACCCATGTAAGGGTCAGAGGACAATTTGCTGAGTCAGTGCTCTCCTGCCACCATGTAGGTGCCAGGGATTGAACTTGGGTAGTCAGGTTTGGTGGGAGGCCATCTCATTGGCCTTTTTGAGAACTTAATCCCCTTTCCCCCCTTTTTTTGCTGCAGGATATGGCTATGTAGCTCAGGCTTGCTTCAAACTCACAGCAATCTTTCTACTTAAGCCTTCCAAGTGCTGGAATTAAAATGAACACCATCATGCCCGGGTTGAAATCAAGTCTCTCTATAGCTAATGCTCAGACTCAATCCAGTTTCCTAGAACAGAACCTAGGAAAAAACTCCTCAAAACCCCTAGTAGAAAACTCTGGGCAAAATAATGTTGGTTAGTTGTACACAGGAAGTAGATGAAAAAATCCTATTGCTGAAGACACTGTATGATGTGAGTGGGGGAGAGGGGAAAATCAAGCTTGGATTAAGCTGGAAACTCCCTGCCACTGGATAGGTGGCTTTAATTGTGCCAAAAGGCGATATGCAGATGACTGGGGGAGAATAGTCCCCTATAATTCTCCTCAACGATGGACCCTGAATGTTGGACTACCAACATGCCAAACAAGATGTTCCTGCTGGCACAATAGTCTAGTGTATGTACAACCAGCAAAATTTTGATTGGATATAATGCCCACTCCTAAGGGTGGAATACATATCTGATACTATAGACCCAGCCAAACCCCTGTGGCAGGGGAGAATATAGGCCCCAGTCGGAAGTCACTGCAATTGCTTTGCTACACCCATAGGTTATTATAGCAGTCACTGTTTAGATGTTCTTGCTTCTTGCTGTGTGTGTTTTTATAGTAGATGGAATCCCACTGAAACTGGCCAACAGTCCATGGAAAACAGATGATGCAGAGACCTGAAAGTTCAGTGCCGTGCCACAACAGGAGGAAGATCACCCACATCTACCACCAAGGCTATGGGACTTTTGCAGAAGAGGTTGATGGAAAGAATGGAAGAGCCAGAGGAAGGAGTGGAGTGTTAACTGGAAATGTCCTCTGACCACTATGCCAGCAAGCTATAGTCACACCTCCTTCCCATGCTCATCAAGGAGTCAAGGGAGGAGTCAGTTACCCCTCCCACCCAATCAGTTGACCTTAGCTGCATTTGGGTGAGGGACAAAGGATATATATATATATATATATGCTGAGAATACCAAGGAGGCACTTCTCTTACCATTTTGTGGGGCTGTTCAGAGGTCACAGGAGCTGTATTTGAGTGTGGACTTTATGGTGCAGCTGTAAATGTGAGGTGCCCACTCTTCTGTAAATAAACCCCTACCCTATGCTCTGTTAAAATAATAGTAATAATAAATAAAATTTTTTAAAAAAGAAAGAAAATTCTGGGCAAGTGGACTAAATAATTTCTTTATGTAGATGGAGGTTGACCTTGAACTCACAGAGATTCACCTGCTTCTGCCCCAAGTGCTGGGATTAAAGGCGTACAACACCATGCCTGGCGAGTCATGATCCTTTTAAAAAAAAGAATTTATTTATTTATTATTATTTTATGTGTAGGAGTGTTTGACTGAGTATGTATATGCATACATATACATGTGTTCCTGGTGTTTCTTGAGGCCAGAAGAAGGCATCATTTCCTGGAACTGGAGTTACAGTGGTTGGAAGCCACCATGTGGGTGCTAGAAACGGACCCCAGGTCCTCTGCAACAGCAGCCAGTGTTCTTAACTGCTCAGTTATCTCTCCAGCCCCTAAAGAGCTTTTTGATCCCTCTGGGTTTTTTATTTGTTTTTATTTTTTTTATTTTTTTATGCTTTGAAGAATTATTATTTTTTAATCATTTTAAAAAATTTTAATAACTGCATGATTAGAAGAAGCATTTCACTACAGCTTTAATATATTTAGTAACATACTCCAGAGCAAGAGTACATCTCTTTTACAAGTGGCTGCAAGTTTCTAGGTTCACAGTTGAATTAATACAGTTATACAATATTGAACTCAGTATAAGCCCTGTAAGACATAAAATTGAATGAGTTTTTA